GTAGGAGCAGGCAGGAGTGGGCCAGAGGAAGCGCTTGTGACCGGGGCAGTGAAAATAAACGATTGGCTCTTATCAATCACTTGCACCAACTAACCGTTTGTATTTTCTTTACCGACCTCTCCCTCTTGGGATATCTGGTCTGGTGGGCTGGGAGGCCACAGTATCCCAGTGTCCACTTTGCTGTGCCTTTGTCCTGCTTGGCTAAGGCACAGAGACTTCTAGTTGGGTGGTTCTATTATATAGGATTCCCAGGCCAAGGAGGCACGGGATCTGTTCTAGATTGCAGAGCAGAATAGCTTGTTCCCTGTATGTACCCGTTAATAAATTCCCATAAAGTTTTGGGGAGAGTGGGGTCACAGCCCTCAGCCTGAAGATTGTGATTTGCCAGTCTCTAGTCTCTGTCTTCCGAGGTTGAGAGAGGTAGGAGGTCTCTAAAATCATCTGTTACAGTGTCTGCCTCTTATAGTGTGAGAGAAGGAACGTTTCTCAGGGTTTCAGCTCACAGTAATGCAGGAGGACTCTGTTCACTGCAGCAGGATATGTATATAGGTGAATCCTGTGGTGTGGGCTCCCAGGCCCAGGTGCTGAGAATAGCAACTATTTTATACAGTATGGGGGGGCTCTGCCCTGCTGGTCTTTTTGATACACAGGTAGAGAATGAATAGAAAAGGGGGGTGGGGGGTGGGAGGCAGCTCAGTGGGGCTGCTGAAACTTGGGCAGAGTGAGTGTGAATGTGTGTGCACATGTGTGTGTGAAAGGGAGCACCCTACTCAACTTCCTGAAACAGGATTCTTTCTGGGGTAGCTTTTCCTGTGTGTCCCCAGAGAGGCCTCTAGCCAGGAGACTTCAATTGGGATCATTTAGTTTAACTTTACCAACACCTTCCCAGTTCTTGACAAAATAGCTGCAGGTTGCTGGGTTCAAGAATATGGGTGGGATATGGAAATGCTCTTTCAATTCAGCTTCAGTTTTAATTCATCTTCCTGCTCAGCATTGTGTCAACCAAGAGCTTACTCAGCAAACACCATGTATTGCAGCACTCCCTAGTGAGAAAACCCCGGGTTGTGCTACTAGAAAATGCTTCACTTCCACTTCCTTACCTGGCAGTTCTCTTGTTTAAACTTTTGTGCTGAGATGTGATCTCTCTTCTCCCACTGTCCCTGCCAGGCAGAGCCCTTCTCTAGGTATGCAGACCTTCATTCTGGCCTTCTGGTCCTCCCTGTCTGTCCCGACACATCCTTTTGCTTAAGCACCTCTGTACCCGAGGCTGGAACAGGGGTCTGGTAGGAAATAAGTTTGCTTGCTCATAATGATGTCTTTTCTCTTGGCACCTGCTTCCTTGAGGTGCCATCAAATGGATTTGTATGTGGCGGTGGGTGAAGTGATTGCATGAACTTTTCTATAACCCACTTTTTATTATTAAGGACTTTTAAGAAAGCTTTGCTCATAGTATCGTGCAAAGAGGTAAAAACTGGAGCCCAAAGAAATTCCCTTAGGGCAAGATTATGTTAAAGTAGAAAACTGAATTTCCGGAGATTAGAGGCTGCCCCTCATCCCCTTAAGTACTCAGTCCTCCAGCATATAGTATTTCCTTACAGTCGGTGACATGGATGGTGGTCCTCAGGAAAGGGGAACAAAGCTTAAACCATGCTGAGGGTTTTGTTCTGGGTGGTGACAAGGGAAGTACTTGCCATTGATTTTTGACACTAGAAAGTCATCTTTTTTAAAAAAAAACTGTTTTTCTAGGTGGGTAGAGAATGAAACTGCCACATCCTTGTTGGATCAGTCCAAGAGATCACTCAAACAGTGGATGTCTGGATTTTGTTTCTGTCTGTCTATTATGAAAATAACAAATGTTAAAGGGGGGGAAATGTGGATTATGGAGGGATCCCTAGCCTTGTTTTCCTTAGAAGACTTTTTAGTGTTTTATCAGATGTTTGTTGTAGTTGTAGATGGAAAAAAATTGTGAGAAAAACAAAACACCACATGGAGCCTGTAAATGTTTTTGCACAACCTGTAAAGCATTCTTGGAAGTGGCCAGTAAAAAAGGGTTTTACCATTTAAAAAAAGAAAAATGTAACTGTGTCATTGTTTACATCTGTAACTTTTTCCTCCCCTGTTCTCATTACAACATTCTGGCAAAAATGTAGGCACAGTAGCTTCCAGTTTTAGAATAAATAACCATTTGGATTGAATTCACCCTTTCTCCTGTGGCTGCACTGACTGGGTTGTGTTTACTCGTTTATGTTTTTTAAAGCTTATTTCTCAAGTTGCACTGGGTCCAACCAAGGATGGCTTTCCCTTGCATGGCTGCTGTTGCCTTCCTTTTCTACCATGCTTCACATGGGAGCCAGCTGTGCATTGGTGGTGAGGGGGCCAGGGTTCTTAGCTCTTGATTATGCTAAGAGCTTGAGCCATTAGAGTAGAAGAAAATAAATTTTAGCTTCACCTCTGTATACTTGGACTGTGATAAAATCATTGGATATTTGGGGTTAAATGTAAGGGTCCATATATGAAAGGAAATAAGTATTTATGAGTGATGACTACCTTGGAGGAAAAGCCTACTCATTCAACAGATGTTTGGGGGTGCTTTATAGTGAATTTGAAAACTAAGAAGGTAAATTAAAGCACTCTTATTTTGTTGCTAGCACTGAACTGATTACTGAGGATGGAACCCAGGGCTAGGCCAGCACTCTACAACTGAGCCAAACTCTCAGCCCTGTAACTGCAATTTCTAATGGTGGGGTTGTTCATCATTAAGGCTGACAGATCATAGGCTCTTAGTATATACCATGTCTGAGTGGTATTAATGTAGACACTGTTTTAACAAACCCCCCACTTCTGTAGGTGACACATTCAGATTTCAGGGTCTTAAAACTTTGTACCCTAGGGACTAGGGTTGTAGCTCAGTGGTAGAGCACTTGCTTTGCATGTGTGAGGCACTGGGTTCCATCCTCAGCGCCACATTAAAAAAATAAATAAAGGTATATCTGTTTACAACTTTTAAAAAAAAACCTGTACCCTAAATGTCATTCTTGATTTTGATCACTGCCTATTCACTGGGCATTTATTGTTAGAGCTAAATTAATTATCACCCCACCCAGGTGCTAGGGTTTGAACCCATCTCTAGATAAGTGTGATACCACTGAGCTATCCCCCTAGCCCTAATGTGTTGTTTTTAACGGTTATTTATAATTTGTGCCTGTCTATAGTAACTGCCTAGCGCTATTTTCCCCCAACCAGAGTTATTTTTTTTTTTAACCTAATGTCAAGGTTACATTTATTGAGCACACTTGGCTTTTTACCAAAGCTGAGCTGGTGTGGAAATTTTCAGTTACTCTTCTGGAATTTGCCCAGCACTGTGGTGCATTAGGAAAAGGGAACGGTTCTTATTCTCTATGCTCTGCTTGTCACTTAACAGTACAATCCATTCATTGAGTGGCTGCTATGTGCCAGGCATTGTCAGCATGCAGGAATTATGACAGACCTGAGCCTTCCTGTAGTTTTCACAAGTAACAGAAGGAACTAAGCAGATTTTCTGAACAAAATGGGGTTTGGAGTGCAACCAGGTTATTTTCTGTTTCTTAGTCTACAGGGTGAGGGAATTAACAGATTGGGCTCAGAAATTCCATCAACAGCGAAATGCTGCTGTTTCAAGGGTACCCTTGGAGCTCATGAGGTCATCTTTAGGAATTGCTGATAAAATATTCTTTATTCCTTTGGTTTCTTCTCTTCCTCTCCGCTTGTTGATTTCCTGTGAGAAGGGGAAGGGAAGCTGGGGTGAAAGGTTATATCTGAATACAAGTCACCTTACTACTACAGCAGGTCAGCGTCTCTCAACTCCAAGCTTGTCCAGGCACAAAACAGAGTTGGCCTAGGCTTTTCCCAGGAAGAATGTGTCCCTTAAGTTAATGAGATATTGGGATGCTGGGCTGGGGATATAGCTCAGTTGGTAGAGTACCCTTGCATGCTCTAGGCCCTGGGTTCGATCCCTAGCACCACAAAAAAAACAAAGTTACAGATTTTTTTTTTTTTTTTTTGCCTTGTTTGGTATCAAAGATTGAACGCCTGGGCACTTAACTGCTGAGCCACATCCCTGACCATTTATTTTTTTATTTTGAGACAGCATCGTATTACATTAATTAGGGCTTTGCTGAGTTGCTGAGACTGGCCTGAACTTGCCATCCCCCTGCATCAGCTTCTTTACTTGCGGGGATTACAGGCCTGCGCCAAAAAGATGGTGCCAGGAAGAGACCCCTATTTTGCATTGCCGCCTCAAAGGGAGTCTACTTGGCGAGATACAGAAACCTTCATTTTCCCCCTAAAATCCACGCGACCAGCGCGGGCCACGCTATGCTAACTGGAGCCCTTTTGTCCCATGATCCATCCTTATGGCTGCCTTGGACACCACGGGGCGGTCGTCAGGTTCAAAACTGTGGGGTGCAGACACCGAATTCGTAAGGGTAGGAGCAGCCATTTTGAGATCGACGAACACAGAAGGGTCCATATTGGGAGCGCCCTATGTTCCGGGCACCGCCATTTTGAGAGCATCCCGTACGGCGGGCCGCCCGGTGTGGAGGCCGCCATGTTGGCGCGGCCGGGCGGCAGCCATCTTGCACGACACAGCGGGCGCAGCCATCTTAGCACGAAGCGGCCCCTGGTGCGGTGCCCGGTACGCCCCGCCCCGCGCGCCCCGCCCCTCCGCTCCTAAGGGTGGGTCGACCAGCAACTACCTTCCCGCAGCCCCCTAATCCTACCCTGTTCAGTCTGCTTCGTGCTTACTTGCCTTCTGTGCGCTCGCGCGTGTGGGTGTGTGTACAATCCCCGCAGCTTCTGAGTGTCCGCTGTAACACCTCTCCCAGTGGCGATGCGCCGCCACCCCGGCCCCGCTGAGCTCCCATCCTTGACAACGTCTAACCTTCTTTGGCCCTGTTTCCGGGGTATGGCAAATCTGTTGTCTAGGATTCTCTACCCCAAGAATGCTAACACAGGAGCTGCCCTCTGAGGTTCTGGATGAATTTATTCTTTAAATGGCTTTAACCTTCCAGTAGCTCCCGGTGTGACTGAGAGCAGGCACCTGGCGCGTCCCTCTCTCCATTGTCTGAACGGGTCACAGAGGGACGTGGACAGGACGCTGGCAGTTTGGCAGAAACCTCTCTGATCGTAGAGCTAAGAGTGCCCTAGTCACGGGTTGCTTGGGGTTGGCCGCAGAGGGAGAGGAGAGGGGTCTATGTGGGTGAGCAGGGTCTTGTGCTTCAGATAAACTCACAGGGCGGGGCAAGGGTAGGAATGGGCTGCGGGGAGCCTCTGAAGCTCTCCACAGTTACCGACCTAAGGAAGGACAGAGAGGGAAAGGTGAGGAGAGTAGGAACCAAGTAGCTCAGAGGAGGGCACAGAAGAACTTCTTTTCTCTGAAGGGGTTCTCCGAAGTGGGCACAGGAGTGATGAGGGGATCCTCACAAGCGTGGGCATCACAGTAAGTCATCAGGTCTGCTGCTGCCTTGGACACCTGGGGCACAGCCATAAGAAGGGAAGTTAGCCAGAATCCTTGAAAGGGACTACAGCCTCTTTCCAAAGGGGGTATCTTTTACCATGGGTAGGGCTCCTTGAGACTGTCTTCTCCCTCATCCCCACAGAAACCTGGGGTTAGCTCTCCTAGCAGAGCCCCAGCCTCCTCCCCTAACCTCAGGAAGTCAAGGAAAGAAGCATCTCTTATCAGGAGGTTTGGAAACCTACCACACAGTAAGGCCTGGCCAACTAATCAAGCCAGGGTCCCACCCACCTTTATCCGGCACAGGCTGGCCTCAATCTTTAGCTGTTCCACCATCTTGCGGGCTTGCCCAATACTCATGGTGCTGTTCACGGGAGTCTCCCCTTTCATCCTGGAGAAAAGAGAGGGACAGTTCAGAGCTATTTCAGCTAAAAGGCCCCCTCTGTGCTTACTCCTCACCAACCTTTACAAGGGTGGATCATGCCCCAATATTTTGTTTCCCTCTTTTCCCAACCCTCTCTGGTTGCCTGTCCCATCCCTGTCTTCCTCAGTGGAAAAATAGGAGATGGTGGGCCACATGGCCTGGACCCCAGGTCATCAAACATGCAAATGATCTAAGGTTTTTTCAGTCCTTCAAGCCAGGTGTGTTCCCAGTTCTAAAAGCCTAAACCAAAAAGAGCCCCACCCTGATGAGGAGGGCATATCACCCCCACCTACCCTCCTTGAATCCCAATGGGATAAAAAACAAGCTGCTTCCTACTCACCTGAAGTGACAGGCGGCAGCAGCAGCCTCAGCCCTGGAGTGTAAGGTCAGTGGGGGAGGGGGGCACCAAAAACTGCCTCAGATGGGGGGGTACGCCACCCTGCAGGGAGTTGCAGCTGAAAATATCTGATGCAGAAGCAGATAATACAGAAAAGGCTACTGGGAAAGGGTCAGGCTTGAGGTCCGTGAAGGGGTGGTCTCTCAATTTCTGCAGCTCAAGCAGTGCCTAGATGCCTGATACCTGAAGGATGAAGGATGCTAGAAGGAGCTGCTCAAATCCTGGAGCATACCAACTGCCTGGCCAGTGGGGGAGCCTGGCTGCCACTTGCATCCCCTGAGCACACCCCCACTATTACTGTCTCACTACCTGCCCCTCCCCCACTGCAGGCATCCCAAGCCTGGACTAAAGCCCTCTCCAAAGGAGCTGAGGCCGAAGCAGACTCCCCCCTCAAATGGGGTGGTCTAGGCCTGTGACCGCCCCTGCAGTGGAGTCTTTACTGGCTGTGGGGGACCCTGCTCATTTGAAAATCTGACATCAGCTGGGCAGTCAGCCCCCTCCTCCCTTCCTCTCTACCCTGACACAGCACTTAGCACCTGAATGTTCGTTTCTCTCCCAGGAACCCTCCATTCCCCATACCCAGGAAAATGTGACGCGCTACAGGTGATCAGCTTCTAGATCACTACAGTCTAGCCACAAGTGACTTTTGAGATCCAGGGACAGGAAGATGTCTAAAGAAATGGCAGACCAAAGAGAAGGAGAAGCTGGGGGTAAAGAGGTGTGCCGAGACCAGATCAAAGGATCGGACAAAGAGGTAAGGGGCCTTGTTTGGGAGTCAGTGGAAATATTTTGGAAATAGGTGGGCTTGGGGGAGGGGGGAGGGTAGCAAATAGCAAGGGAAGGTGTATTGATTTGGAAAATTTTCAGACATTTTGAATAGGTACTCCCACGCCTGCAGCATTATGCAAAGATGTATGGAGGACTTCTGTATGGAGGAACTTAAGTGGGGTAATTAGATAGATACAAAATATAAGACGCCATCTGCCAAGACCTAAACTAATGTTTTAGGGAGAGTGCGTCCACTTAGGGTCAGAGGAGGTTGATCACTCACTAAGAGCTGGAGACCAATGGCGAGACTGCAATATTGACACGCTTGTAAATAGCGGACAGCAGGCCGGCCACCTGCGCAACACCCGGGATGGACTGGTTCCCGCAGAATACAACATCCCCTGAAGGAATACTCCCCGCCTTGGACATGCACAGTTTCTAAGAGCCTTGAGGGATAAAAAAATCGTTGCTCGCGTCCCCCACCCCACCTCCGCCCCCCCGCTTCGGGAGTTAAGTGGCCGCTGGTGAAGGGTATGGGCAAAGGGCTGTGCCCCAGCAGAAGGCTGAGGGGACTCTGCTGAGTCAGAACATGCCCTGGGGCATATCTCTCGGAGCCTGGAGAGAGGCATCTTGCCCCTGTGGTCCAGGGCGTAGGGCTGCAGAGAGACTGGGGGGGCCGGAAGAGACAGGGCCCCGCCCCTTGTCAGGTCACGCCCCTGACGAGGCCCCGCCCCCAGACTGCAATGGCTGACGGCAGAAAGGGGCGGGACTTCTCCGACAGCCGGAAATCCCTTCTCGCCGTTGCCCCGGCAGCGCGCGAGGCTGGTGAGTCTGCAGTGCTGTGGCGGCGGGCGGGCTGGTTTCCATGGTGGCGCAGTTAGGTGGGGGCTCCCGCGCCGCACCCACCACCGGGCCCGAGGGGACTGGCGGGGAGCAGCCGTTGGCTGCAAGACGCCCTGCCGGGCGTGCGGGGCACCTATCCGAAGCTAGCGCAGCTAGAGGTGGAGAGAAGCTCGGGAGGCAATTGTGACTGCTCTTAGGCTGCTGGCTTTGAGTCCTGCTGTGCGACCATAGGCAAGTCGTGCATCCTCTCCCTGCAACCACCTGGCACTGTGGATTCGTGTCATCGTGTGGGTTAAAGAGATGATTGAACCCAGGGTCACTCTACCACTAAGCTACACCCCAGCCCTTGTTTGTTTGAGATAGGATCTCTGTAAATTGCTGACTTCAACCTCCAGCATGGGATTATAGGCAGGCACTGTGGGCCTGGCATAAAATTGCTTTGAGAGAATGTTAAGATGCTCATTCTCTGTGTTATGTATTGCTAGCTATGAATGAGTATCAAGCATCAAAATCAGATGCTTCTGAGGGAAGAGTTCAACTGAGAAGCACTGACACTGGGGCAAAGGTATTAAAGGGAAAGGAAGACAAGGGAAAGGAAGGAATAATTGGCTGGGAAGCCTAACCACTTGGAGAAAGGCCATATGAAAAAAAATGACTTTGCTTTACCCTGCTATCTCTAGTTTCCCCAGTCTAGTTAACTTGTCTTTTTTGTCCCCACCTGCTTATGGGAAGGAATCATTCTTTTTTCATTTTTTTCTTTTTTCCAGGAACCGCCAGCTGCCTCATCCCATGGCCAGGGGTGGCGTCCAGGTGGCAGAGCAGCTAAGAACGCAAGACCTGAATTGGGGGCTAGACCCCCTGCTCTCCCTGCCATGGTCAATGATCCACCAGTACCTGCCTTATTGTGGGCCCAGGAAGTGGGCCATGTCTTGGCAGGCCGTGCCCGCAGGCTGCTGCTGCAGTTTGGGGTACTCTTCTGCACCATCCTCCTCCTGCTCTGGGTGTCTGTCTTTCTCTATGGCTCCTTCTACTATTCCTACATGCCGACAGTCAGCCACCTCAGCCCTGTGCATTTCTACTACAGGTGAGAGGGGTCTTCTGTCAGAATGGAGGAATCCTGTGTGAAAATTGCTGCAAGGACCCTTGGAGCTTATTCATTTCAGTCTCCTCATTTACAGAAGAGGAAACTTGAGCCTGTTGTGCTAACAGAACTTCTCACCCACCACAACCCAAGGCGGGATCAGGTCTGGGATGGTAGGATTTTAGAGTGCTAGTTCTATCTGTGGTCGCTTATTTCTGGTTAAAAAATAAGGGTCAGTTCTGTTTAGGTTCTATCAAACCTCTCTCAGAGCCACTGTAGAAGTTTGAACCAATCCAACCCCTTGGGCATCTCAAAACTCACTTGGCTTTCAGCAGAAGTAGTATTAGGAAATATCTCCTTTGCCTTTTACTTTACTGCCTCCTATCCCAAATAGTCTGCTGCACAATAGATTGTGGAAATACAAGGTGACTGGGTACAAAAACTTGACTCCAAGAGTCCTACTACTTGCCTGGCCCCTTATTCTTTCCCATTTCCTACACTGCCAGATTCTTTCTCTTATTCCTAAGAATGGGTATAGGACCAATTAGCTGAAGGGGACATTATTATCAGTGGTCCAATATCTTTTTTTTCCCCTGTCCTGAATCCCTAGTCATGCACTGAAATTTCTAAGGTAGATCTTAAACTTTTAGGGGACATAGATCCTAAGAAACCTATGATCTTTCCTGCCATAATAGTGTATGTACATGCCCAGGTGTATGTTGCATACCTATATACCATATAGAGTTTTCCCTACAATTTGATCAGTTTAATGACTTTAAAAGTCATCTATAGACCATTTTGGGGAGTTTTCTCAAAATAGGGACCAGACTATAACTACTGAATCAGAATCTCTGGGTTAGGACCCTGGAATCTATATTTTATCAAGTTCTTCAAAGGAGTCTTTAGAAACACCATATCTGTAGGTTCCCATGAGAGGCAATAAACTGAAGTAGCAGGAAGAGAATTGGGGAAGTCTGAAAAAAAATTCATTCTAGTATCTTGAATCTACTGGTCACATTTGTTCACCTATCAGAAAGGATTGGGGAGAGAAAGGAACCCTAGGGGGGCTGGGGATGTGGCTCAAGCGGTAGCGCGCTCGCCTAGCATGCGTGGGGCCCGGGTTCGATCCTCAGCAGCACCACATACCAACAAAGATGTTGTGTCCGCCGAGAACTAAGAAAAAATAAATAAATGTTAAAAAAATTAAAAAAAAAAAAAAAAAAAAAAAAAAAAAAAAAAAAAAAAAAAAAAAAGAAAGGAACCCTAGGAACCCAAAAGAATTGCAGATATAAGTAAAGTGGACTCTAACTTAGCAGAGTATCATTCCCCCTTCTCATTTAGGACCGATTGTGATTCCTCTACCACCTCACTCTGCTCCTTTCCTGTTGCCAATGTCTCGCTGGCTAAAAGTGGACGTGATCGGGTGAGTATGGGAGATACAGGGAAGTTAATTAGAGTTTTGATGACTTGAGATAGTAGGGCTTAAGATGGGGAGAACAGGGATTGAGTAAGAGACAAGAGGAAGGAAAGCAGGGCTGGGGTTGTGGCTTAGCGGTAGAGCACTTGCCTCGCATGTGCAAGACCCTGGGTTCAATCCTCAGCACCACATAAAAATAAATGAATAAAATAAAGGAATTGTGTCCAACTGCAACTAAAAAAATAAATATAAAAAAGAGGAAGGAAATAGAAGTTGAAGAGAAATTAGAATCTAAATGAATAGTGTGTTTTGATCTTTCTGCAGCAGACATTAGAAATATTCTCATTCTCAACAGGTGAGACATGACTTGTTTCAGACAGGTCATATCTGTTAGATAATGTCAGTAGTGTGTTTTGGATTTAGGTGAATAAATCAGCTGTTTCATTGGAATAGAATGGCATCCATCCAAGAGTTTTAAAGGCTTGTATATAAAATTATGAAATAGTTGATAAGTATGTGACCTGTTATTCAAAGGGTATTGTGCCAGAGGACTGGCCACATGCCATTGTGATTTAAACAAACTGAGAATTCTGGGCTGGGATTGTGGCTCAGTGATAGAGCACTTGCCTAGCATGTGTGGGGCACTGGGTTTGATTCTCAACAAATAAATGAATGAAATAAAGGTCCATCTATGTCTAAAAAAATAAAATAAAACCTGAGAATTCTGATAAATGCATACAAAGACTAAGCAAGCTGGTGGAAGTTCTAATAAAGGATAGAATCCCTGAACTTAAAAAGGATCTTGAAGGCTGGGCATGGTGGTGCATGCCTATAATCTCAGCAACTCCACAGACTGAGGTAGGAAGATATGAGTTCAAGGCCAGCCTCAGCAACTTAGCCTAGACCCTTTCTACTTTTTAGTACTGGGGATTGAACCCAGGGGTACTTAACCACTAAGAAACATCCCCAGTCTTTTTTTTTTTTTTTTTTTTTGGACAAGGTCTCAAATTACCTAAGGGCCTCACTAAGTTGCTGAGGCTGGCCTTGAACTTGCGATCCTCCTGCTTCAGCTTCTTAAGTTGCTGGAATTACATGTATGCACCTCTATGCCTGGCTAGCTCTGATTTCTCATATACCACTCTGAGGGGTCATCTGCTAGACAAGAATCATTAGAGGGGGTTGGAGGAGCTTAGGGGTGAAATTCAGTCATAGAGCATGTGCTTAGTATGTATGAGGCCCTGGATTCAATCCCTAGCACCAAAAAATAAATACATGATTCAATTATAAGAATATAGGAATGGTTAGGAAAACTTTAACATTTTGAGGTTTAGACCAGTGAAAAACTCCCATTGTGGGAGGTATGAGGAGTGATGGTAGGTACCCACCAGCAGGACCAAGATAGGGACTCAAACCCCAGGTTAAGGTGTATAATCCTGGCTCCTTAGAAGGCTGAGATAGAAAGATCACCTGACTTAGGAGTTTAGAGCCATTCTGGGCAACAGACCTTATCTAAAAGAAAAAAAAAAAAAAAGATAAAGGGAGGCTGGGGGTGTTGTTCAGTGGTAGAGTTGTTGCCTAGCATGGATGAAGCACTGGGTTCAATCCTCAGTACACATAAAAATAAATAAGGGTCTGGGGCTGGGGCTCAGCGGTAGCACACTTGCCTGGCATGTATAAGGAACTGGGTTCGATTCTCAGCACTGCATATAAAATAATAAAATAGGGCTGGGGATATAGCTCAGTTGGTAGAGTGCTTGCCTAGCATGCACAAGACCCTGGGTTCAATCCCCAGCACCACAAAAATAAATAAATAAATAAATAAATAAAAGAATAAAATAAAAGTATCAAAAACTAGAAAAATATTTTTAAATAAATAAATAAAGGTATATTTTAAAAAAAAGATTAGGGACTCAGAATGACATCAAGATGCTACTGCTAACAGTGATTGTCAGAGAGCTGGCTAGGGAGGCTGAGCACTTCTGGTGCTTGGTTAATTAATAACAATTGAGGGCAGCTGATCCCAAGAGGGACAGCCTCAGCAGTGCACAGGCCTGAGTCACAGATGGCCCAGTTGGCAACATGACCGTTCACTTTTGGGAAAGAAATATGACAGCCTTTCGGGACTGATTCAGAAGAGCCAATAGGATACGGAAGTGGAGGTACCCAGCCACCAGAAGGGGGCAGCACCTTCTCTGGACAAACCTTTGGAAGGCCTTTGGGCTAACCAAGGGGGTGGCAGAATATTTGCAAGATAGAACTTGGACAGTATAATAAAAAAAAAAAAGTTTTTGAAATGAAATGGGGGCTACTTTGGGCAGGTGCTGATGTATGGACAGCCATATCGCATCACCTTAGAGCTTGAGTTGCCAGAGTCTCCTGTGAATCAAGATTTGGGCATGTTTTTGGTCACTGTTTCATGCTACACCAGAGGTGGCCGAATCATCTCCACCTCTTCCCGTTCGGTAAGTGTTCATGGCCTGTCTGGGAAGTTGTGAAGAATGATGGCAGAGTCAGAATATCTGGGTAGGGCTTCAGCAGAAAATCTTGGCACTGAGGTCTGAGGACACGTCAGGATAAGGGAGGAGAAATCTGCTTACCAAGACAAACATTTTCCAAACTCCCTAGCACATCATGAGCACATCCAGCTTTGGAGTAGACGTGAAGAGTGGAGCAGCTCTCAGAAAACAGATCTAGAGCCATGCGGATAGATCCTCACCAGAAACATGCCAGCCACGGAACATCAGACAACTCATGAGGCATAAAGTAGTATTAAATGGGTACCATAGTAACTGCCTCGATCAGGACTGTAGGAGGAAATGTGAATGCAGTTCTTACTCTCACATGGTAGATGTTTAATCAACATTGGGATCTCACTGTTGCATGAACTGTCGGGAGAACCTCATCATGAATGTCTGTCTTAGGGGGAAAGCAGATGATGTGCTGGGGTTTGGATCCTATCCTGGATGACAGAACTGTTTTGGGGAAAGGCAGAGTCAATGTTACACTTCACCTGGAAAGGTGTCTTAGAGGAGGGGCCTTTGCTGTACTGGAATGGAGAAATGTGGTCAGTCATGGGCAGAGGTTGAGTAGGTGGAATGGTTTAGTGGACACAGGGGAATAGGAAGTGGAGGTGAGGAGCAAGGAGCCTGAGGGAGGAGCAGCCTGCATGGACCACTCAGGGATAGGGGAAAGCTGTGGGAACCTGGATACCTGACCCCAATTTCTGCCTCCTGGCCCTGGCAGGTGATGCTGCATTACCGCTCAGACCTGCTCCAGATGCTTGACACGCTAGTCTTCTCTAGCCTCCTTCTGTTTGGCTTTGCTGAGCAGAAGCAGCTCCTGGAGGTGGAACTCTATGCGGACTATAGAGAGAACTCGGTGAGTGAGGTGAAGGCTGACCAGGAGACTGCCCTCTTGTCAGCCCAGAATTGTATTCCAGGAGCCTCTGGTTTCAGAGCAGGCCTCAGATCGGGCTGGTAGGATCAAGAGTGACAGGATCAAGACCCTGACTTGATGCTGCCCTCTCTCCACCCCTCTTAGTATGTGCCAACAACTGGAGCAATTATTGAGATCCACAGCAAGCGTATCCAGATGTATGGAGCCTACCTTCGCATCCATGCCCATTTCACTGGGCTCAGGTGAGGAATCACTGAAATAGACCTTGACAGCTCTCCTGGATGCTGTCCTTAAATGAAGAGTTTCCCAAGTAAAGGTAAAAGGTTAACAGAGCAGCATTGGTTTGAGTTTTTCAAAGGCCAGATTCTTGCCCTTTCTTGCTGCACATTAGCATATTGGCTCCCAGGGAAACGTCAAAAATACCTATATAAGTCTGGCATTGTGGTGCATGCCTAAATCCCAGCTATTTGAGAGGCTGAGACAGGAAGATTATAAGTTCAAGGTAAGCCTGAGCAACATACTAAAAGTCCCATTTCAAAAATAAGGTAAAATATACATACATACTACTGTCTTGATTCATTTGCTTAGCAGAATTGGCCAAAATCAAGGCCATTGCCTGTGGCCCTGCAATGCTGAGACTACCCAGAGTCCTTAATCTTTATTAGTACTTGATGCAGCAAGGTCTGATAATTGGGAGGGGGTGGGCAGGGAACATGGAGGCAGAGGCTAGCTCTAACCAAACTCAGTTGAGTTGCTTGGGAAATTAGAAAGTTGATGCTGTTTGGTAATGGCTGCTCAACTCTTATTGCTATTTCCTGCTTCAGGTACCTGCTATACAACTTCCCGATGACCTGCGCCTTCATAGGTGTTGCCAGCAACTTTACCTTCCTCAGCGTCATTGTGCTCTTCAGCTACATGCAGTGGGTGTGGGGGGGCATCTGGCCCCGACACCGCTTCTCTTTGCAGGTTGCAAGGGGCAGTGACCCCTTTTTCTTTCTTTGAGGATGTTTATTTGGGTGGGCAGGGACATATATGGTGAGGAAAGTCAGAACTCACTGTTCAGTCCTTTCTCTTCTATAGGTTAATATCCGAAAAAGAGAGACTTCCCAGAAGGAAGGCCAACGAAGGATCTCTACCCATCAGCCTGGTAAAGGTGTTGTTTGAGGGGCTGTTAGGGAGGTGAGGGGGTTAGGCAAGCAAAGCTGCCTGCCTCCAGTGTGAGGCATAAAGGCACACTCACATGCTGAGCTAAGGGTGGAAGAGGAGGCTGAAGGAGGTGAAGTAGGCATTGCTCTCTAGGCACAGCCACCCTACCCATCCTGTCCTCTACTTGTTTTGGAGGAGCAGAGCCTGAAAGACAGGAGGAGGCAACTCAACTGTCAGATGTGACAGAGGATGGTGAGAGCCCTGAAGATCCCTCAGGGACAGGTATGGTGCAGCAGTAATCCCTCCTTCCTGACATCTTAGCCCTGTCCTTCAGCATCTGGGTCTGACTCAGCCCTACTCTTGGCCACAGAGGGTCCGCTGTCTGAGGAGGAGAAACCAGACCAGCAGCCCCTGAGTGGAGAGGAGGAGCTGGAGCGGGAGGCCAGTGATGGTGAGGGGCACCCTGGAATGCCATAGTCTACCGGGCAAAATAACCGGGAAGTGACAAGCAACTTGAAGGTTGAAGCGGGAACTGCTTTATTGTAGGGAAACTCTGCAGGAACTGAGCGGGCACCCAAGGTAGCGGGAGCCGCTTTATTGCGGAACAGCAGAGGTATATATACCTAACTGATTACACACAGCTTGACTCAATTAGCATCATCTAGATACAGCAGTCAGCCAATAAGGAATCCCCACCAAGCCATTAGGATGGAGTGGTTTGAACTACCAGGCGCCATCTTGACTTGTTTTGCAGTCCCCAACACTGGAATGCATGGGCTGGATGGAGTAGGACCCTGGGTTAATTTGATATCGCATTTGAGATTTTTTGGTTTTTCCTTTTTTGTTTTTTCCTGGCCCAGGTTCAGGCTCCTGGGAAGATGCTGCTCTGCTGACTGATGCCAACCTACCTGCTTCTGCCTCTGCCTCTGCTTCTGCCCCTGCCCCGGAGACTCTGGGCAGCTCTGAGCCCTCTATGGGTGCTCTGAGACAGCGCCCCACCTGCTCCAGCTCCTAAAGAAAAGAGGACAGATTCCTCACATTCCAGCACTTTCCCACCTGGGATCTCCCCTTGTGTTCCCTTAAATAAACTATTTTGTGCCAGCTGCTTCCTGACTCTTTGAAGTAGATTTAGGCTTATTTGAAACCCTGTGTCCAGCCAGGCATGGAGGCATAGCCTGTAGATCAGGCAGAAGGATCACAAGTTCAAAGCCAGCCTCAGCAACTTACAGAGATCCTGTTCAAAAAATAAAGCCAGGCGCAATGGCGCACACCTGTAATCCCAGTGGCTTGGGAGGCTGAGACGGGAGGATCATGAGTTCAAAGCCAGTCTCAGCAATGGTGAGGCATTAAGCAACTCAGTGAGACCCTGTCTCTATTTTTTTTTTTTTTTAATTTTCGGCGGACACAACATCTTTGTATGTGGGACTGAGGATTGAACCCAGGCTGCACGCATGCCAGGCAAGCACCATACCACTTGAGCCACATCCCCAGCCCCAAGAGACCCTGTCTCTAAATAAAATACAAGATAGGGCTGAGGATGTGGCTCAGTGGTTGAGTGCCCCTGAGTTCAATCCTCAGTACCAAAAAATTAAAATTAAAAAAAGATAGGGATATAGCTCAGTGATAAAATGTCCTGAGTTCAATCTCCACTACCTAAAGAAAGAAGGCCAGCAATGCGTGCCCCAGACACCTTCAACTCTACCCCTTAAAGGAACTCTGCCCCACAGGAAGACCTGCAGACCTGGACTGTTTCAGGCACAGTTGTTTCCACAGTCTAAGAAGTACAAGGAGAAAATTTATCCTGGCCACTAGCAGGCTTCCTGCTTCATCCATGTGACTTGTCTCATGGAAGGGGGATAATTTAGGGCGGGTCTGAAGAGCTAGAATACATCATTCTGGCCCCTACACCCCTCCCATCTCTGTCCATTGGGAGGCAGAAGACAGGAAATGACTGCCATACATGTGGTATGATTTTACCAAAACAGCATTTTGTAACCCAGGCCCCATGCTGTCCACAGCTGTTTTCCTCTCTTATACCAGCCAGGTGGCACTCTCCAATATTTCCCTCCCCATCCCTTCACATGACTTCAGCCTTTGGATTCTCAGCTCCTGGCCACTTTCCACATTCCACTCCTCTGTCAGAACCCAGGCATCCTGAGCTCCAGCTAAAACTGCTGTGCATGGCTTTCCCCACCCTGGCCCTGTGACTCAGGCCCTCTGAGCGGACCATCCCTCTTCTTGGCACTCAGTGGGAGGGGAGTGGAGAAGGGGGCCAGGTAGTGACATCAGAGTTGAAGGGTACAAAAGCTTTCAGCCAAAAGAAAATTGAAGATACAACCTGACAGTGCAGGCAGCGCGGCCTACTATCCTCAGGACTCCTCAACCTGATAGCCCCAGACATCTGGTTGCAGATTCCCACTCCCTCAAGGTCTCCCCGCTAGTGAGGGGCTGCTGTGGGCCAGAGCGATCAGCTGGGGTTCTGGACTCCTTGGACAGGATTCACACAGATAACAGGTGGGGAGTGAAGAGTCCAGGATCCTCCTTTCCTCCTCTGGTCCTCCGGTTTTGTGTTTTCTCACTTCTGTCTTCCTGTTGGGTTTTTGCATGTCTTGCTGACTGATCCTCGGTTTACTTAGATCTTTTCTCTGGGTGGCAGCTGGGAATTCTACCACCTTTCTTGGCTGAGTAAATCCTTTCCCCTCCTTCTCCTCCCAGCATTTTGTTTATTCATTAACTTTCTAGCACTTCGAATGTTGCTGCTCACGTGTGTTTCTCTGATATATATCAGTCCAGAGCTTCATTTTGTCCAAAATCAAACATGTAACTTGGAACATTTGTCAAGAGAAGCTGGTCTTCTTACTCTTTTATCATCTGGATTCCCTCTTGTGTTTGGGTTCTATCCAGGCAGGGGCCCTAAGGCACGGATGACAGCCTTTACCTATTCACCCTTTCCCTTCCAGACTCCATGCTGGGCTCTCTCTGCCTTCTGTGGCTCCTAGCCCTGACCTTGTCGGTTCCCAGAGCTCAGCCCTTGGCTCCTCAAGACTTCCAGGAAGAGGAGGAAGATGAGACGGTGAGCACACCTTCCCTGGCTGTCCCCTGTGATTACGACCGTTGCCGCCACCTGCAGGTGCCCTGCAATGAGTTGCAGAAGGCCAGGCCGGTGGCCTGCCTGTGCCCGGGGCTGTCCAGCCCTGCCTGGCCTCCGGACCCGCCACGCCTAGGAGAGGTGCGCATTGTGGCCGAAGAGGGCCGCGCCGAGGTCCACTGGTGTGCCCCCTCCTCCCCGGTCCACCACTACCGGCTGCTGCTTTGGGAAGGCAGCGGGGCTCCGCAGAAGGGCCCCCTACTCAACACTACGGTCCGCAGAGCAGAACTGAAGGGACTTAAGCCTGGGGGCGCTTATGTGGTTTGCGTGGTGGCTGGTAATGAGGCCGGGGAGAGCCGCGTGTCCCAAGCAGGTGGGGAGGACCTCGAGGGGGTGTCCTTCCCGGCCTTCGGGCCCTGCGGCCGGCTCACCGTGCCACCCAGACCGGTCACCCTAATCCACGCGGCCGTGGGGGTGGGCACAGCCCTGGCTCTGCTAAGCTGCGTCGCCCTGATCTGGCACTTCTGCCTCCGGGAGCGCTGGGGCTGTCCGCGCCGCGCAGCCACCGCCCAAGCCGCAGGGGCGCTCTGATGAGGGTCTGGGGGACTTCCGCGCAGCCCAGCCCACCTGGAGCGCCAGCTGGCTCCCAGAAGGGCCAGCCCGCTGCCGCCTGGCGCCAGACAACTGGGCCGCAGCTGGGGGTCTTGCCACTTTGTTCCTGCCTGAAAGCTAGACAGAAGTAGAGAGGGTCAGAGAGTTAGTAAGTAGGTTTTGCATGTTTAAGAGTATAACATTGAGGGGACCAGGGACAGAGCTCAGTTGGTAGAGTGCTTGTCTCACATGCACAAGGCCCTGGGTTCAGTCCCCAGCACCCCTCCCTCCCCCAAAAAAGTATAATATTGAGGATATTATGTAGGTACTTATCTAGTCATTTAAAATATAACCATTAAAAAGTGTAAAACCCATTCTTAGCTCATGGGTCTTATGGGTCTTATATGTCAGTGAGCAGGCCGGATTTGCCCTTTGGCTGCAGTTAAGTCAGCCCCTGTCATACACCCTCAAAGGGTTCTGCTCTTGGGCTTGGTGGCCTGGACAATTTAACAAGACTCTGTTTTAACTAAAAAATTAAAAAAGGGACTGGGGAAGTAGCTCAGTGGTAGAGTACCCCTGGGTTCAATCCTCAGAAGGGGTGGAGGGGGGACAAAAAGACACTGCCACTTTGGCACTTTGCATAGCTTAAGTGGCATTTGAGAATAAGCTTCTGCAGGATAAGATTTTCTGATTGGAGCCACAGTCTTCTTTGACCTTTCCTTAAGTTACCCAGATGAGCATATCTGGATCAGAGTCTGTTTCTGAGGAGGGTGGAGATTAAGGACTGAGATGGGATACAGAAGAGAAGGAAGCCCCGAACCTTTGTCCGGCACAAGTTTGTGCTCTTGCTAATTAAAATAAGACAAATCAATAGTAATACCAAGGAATCCCCCATTTGTGTTTATTGTATACCAACTGTGATAACATTAAAGGAAATTTAAAAGAAATTGTCACTTTTCATGATCCCTCATTTTGGACTTTGCACCTACCAGCTCCTCTGCCTGAGATGTTTGGCCTCTTCTCTCCTCTTAGTTAACTTCTAGTTGTTTTTCAAGACTCCGGCCTGCAAGTTCAAGGAGAGCCTCCGCAATTTTGTGGGACACCCTCCCCACCCCCAAAAAACTTAGTGAGACCCTGTCTCAAAAAAAAAAAAAAAAACATTAGGGGCTGGGGATGTGGCTCAAGCGGTAGCGCGCTCGCCTGGCATGCGTGCGGCCTGGGTTCGATCCTCAGCACCACATACCAACAAAGATGTT